TTTCGGATCATTGTAGTCGGCAGTCTTCCATCCATTCGTCCCCGACCTCCCATTATTGAAGAGTGGCCCGTAAGATTATTCTTCCATTCGAGTAAGGTTCACGCTACTCTTATCGAGCAGGAGATCCCCGTCACTTCCTATACACGGCCCCATCACTCTCGCCCAATGCTCCATCGTTCACAGCATTGGATTGCTTCGGAGATCCTCGCCCTCAGTCTGGTTCTTGTCTATAATCTCCTTGTAAATGCAAGGAGAGATGCAATTCCAATTCCATAAGAGGAAATCAAGACACAATTCGTTGAGCTCGTGCCTGAAGGGTCACAATTCCTCGTAGGCTACCTTCAAGGGAACCAAATTTCGCACCTTGTCACTCTTCTTGGGCGGTGCCATGTCTCCAATTCGCGTCATCATGGAAACAATGTCGATCGATCTCTCCGTTTCTCTATGCGCTCGCTATCGTTCAGTATCGCAATGTCGGCGCACTTGCTTCTGCCTTCGCCTTTCCCTCGATGCTCTAACATTGCCTCCTCCGCGCCCAATAGAATTCTCGATGCGTGCGAACGTTCTCCGGCCTGTTGCGCATTTCAAATTGATTTCGACGTCTTTGCCGAAGATCCAGATCTTGCACTGACCAGAAAAGGTTGCGCCGAAGATCTGAAGTTCCGAAGATCTTCGGCCGAAGGCGAATTCTAACTAATTCTATCATAAATCCTCTAGATCTACTCTTTCTAAGTTGTATGTCTACCTTCTACACAACTATGTTTAAGTCTTGTTGATTTTTGAAGAAAGACAAAAATACTAGGCACCATAGAACATCAAGTGTTTCAGCCAAAAACTTGGTGACAACACTCTTCACCTCTTTTTTTTCAGATTCATGTAGACTAGAAATTCTTACATTCTTTCTACGAGCAAATTGATTAGCTTTTTTCAATCTCTTGCTCTTGACAAAAAGAGATATGAGAAGACTTGATGGCTTCACTATAAAATTTCATCTTCAATTCTAGACTTTCAACCACTTCATGCAATCTAGCATTTGCAACTGTGGAAGCTTGAGAACCAACTTTCTCATGAATATCCTCCAAGTGTTCCGAAATATCAACCATAATCTTCTAAAATCTTTTCTGGGAGAGCTTCAACTCTCGAATTTCATATTGAGCTATAATTAAATTAGAACTTTGTACCTTGAATTTTGCATTGAGTACTTTCAACTCTTCCAAAACCGTTTGCAGAAGATTGAGTATCAAATTGTCTTGAGACGCCATCATGTGAATGCCTCTCAAAAACTCGAGACTGAAATCTGATTCAACTTCAACCTCCAAATTGCGTTCAGTCTCAAACTTTGCAAGCTTGTGCTTCCTGCCCAGCTCCAAGGTTCCAAAAAGTTTCAGGTCCAAAGCACACTCCAGCTCGAAGTTACGGCCCTTGCAAGATTCGGCTCTCCCCTCTCAAAAAACTCAAACCTCCAAGACGTGTCAACTTCTTGTTTCGAACTGCGTTTGGTCTGAGATTTTTCAGCTCGTGCGCCTTGCTCAACTTCATACTCCCACAAAGTTTTGGCTCAAGAGCACACCCAAGCTTGAAGAAACAGCTCACGTAAAAATTGACTCTCTTGCCTTCAAATCTTGAAACTCGAAGCTCGAAACTCAAAATTGTACGCTAAACAATGTAATGTGATTGTTGACTTTTGCTGCATATGAATTTAATTAACAAATATTAATTGAATAAAAAAAATTCACTTTGCTAGAATTTCAAATTTTAACTTTTAAATCTAAATTTTATAGTTTGTTTAAATTATCATCATAATACAAAATCACAAACACACTTTGGCTACTACTTCATAGAAATACTTAAACTTTCAAAGAATGCTTTCTTATCCTATTTTGTATATATCAAAATTCAACATATTTGGATGACAATATTTAAGTAAACAGAAAAGAGTATAATTTTTAATATAAAAAATTAAAATTAATAGTAATTGATAATAAATACTAAAGAATATAATAAAAATTATAAATATTACAAGATCAAACATTTGATGTAATTAATTTCTGCATAGCATTTCTTCATCTTCATTCGGAAAAGAAATTATCATTCAATTAATATGTAGGCTATCATGAGCGTCATGATGATTTTGAAATGATAAAATGATCACTCTTTGCTTGATTGGACTAACATTACAACATGAAATTTTTAAAATGCAATTTTTTATTAATATTCTGTTATTGTATCAAATTTGGTAATCACACATGCTCAAATTGCATTCATGTTGAAGCATATTAATGATTTCTTGTTTTTTTAACATCAAATAAATTATTTTCACTTGAATTTTCCAAAATTGCTACCAATTTATTTTTTGAAAAAACTATTATGTAGATCAACACATTTTATTGAATGTGTTGATAAATTTATTGCAAAATCCATAATTCAATAATATCTTAGAATAGAATTTTAAGTCACTTCAAAAAAAAATATCATTATAATGAATGTAGATCAAGACTGTTCTATATTCAGTAATTTAATTTGTACAATTTGTTCCAACTTAAATAATAATCAAATTTCATCTTTGATAAGAAATGATAATAATGAAAGTTCAAAATAATCAGAAATGATCATGATCATAAATTGGCTATTTTTAATTTACTAAATATAAATATATTTCATATCATAAATGCATTTTAAATTAATATGAATTTTTAATTTTTGTATAAAAATAAGTGCAATTAAAGCAATCACTTGCATTGCTCAAAATGTTTAGATAACCTTTTTTCTATATGTTTTTATAAATATAGAAAATCAAAATAATATAGATTAAGATTGATATAGGATATTTATAAAAATATGAATGATAAAACCATATGTAAATATTATGCATATGTAATGTATCATATATGTAATATGATAATATGCATGAAATGTTATTAGAAACTATGAAGTTATCAATCATAAGATTTGAATTTTATTGGAGATTAAATTCTTTCTTCATCTTACAAAGTGAACATACATAAAAAACATCAAAGATTATAATGATGGAATATTAAATTTAGATAAAGATTGAGGTCCTTTTGATTGATTTAAATTCAAGTTTCATTTTATAATATTTATTTATCAAATTGCTTGCATATGATAAAATGAAATTTTAAACCTTATTTTGAATATGTATCATGCTTTATATGATTCAGTATTGAATAATCGTGTCATAAGATTAGAGTTTAAAATATAATTTTTAAGATTCAATACAATTCTATTTACCATTTACCATTACCTTAGCAAAATTTTCTCAAATGGCGAAAAAGAACTGCAAATTTTTTTCAAATTAGCCAATCAAAATACTTAGCTCGCTAATTTATGTTTTAATCATCTGAGCAAGAATTTATAGCATTAATTTTGACATAATCTTTATTTCACGATGAAGATCATGCCATTACTTATTGTCCGAGATCCGTCTCATGTCAAGTTTTGTAAAACTTATTCACAAAATTTTGATTGTATGATGAAAATGTGATTCTATTGAAGTCATCTTATACCTCTAGTTTCATACATGTATAATTCATGGGCTCTTCCATCTGTTGAGAGAGTGGGAAACCGAATACTCCAGCCTGCTAGATTATTCGGTTTCCCACTCTCTCAACATACATGGTGACGTGTGATTAGAAGATTTGATAGTGTGAGACATGCTATATTCCCTTATTTGTTATCTTTTACCTTCTTGCTCTGCCAACTTACAGTATGAAGTAGTCGTGTTCCTTGTTTGCCTGCCTGCGTCATATTTTATTTTAGCCATGCGTATCCCCCCTTCAGGTCTTCCTATACAATGTGCGAAATTTATTTAGTTCTCAATTTGGGTGTCTCACATCGCTAACTCCACTACAACGGTAAACATAAGAATTTGAGTAATATGAAACCAACACATTTTTCATTCAAAACTAGAACCTGACCGTGCTACACTCATTTAGCGGTGGGGCTCAGTGAGATATATTTGGACTTCGGGGCTCAGATCTATACAATCCACTAGGTAGGTCGCTCCACGTACGACAGTACGTGGAGCGATTGTGTGGTGGAGCGCAAGATAATATAGAGTGTTAGAATCGATTGGTATGCATGATTGCGGGAATGAAAACCACCGTTCAGGATACCGGATGAAGTTGGGCATAATAATGTAACAAAGGAAGATTGCTTGTCTCCATCAACCAAGTAAACCCGTTGTGTTATGTCTGAAACTTGAGTGGGATGAAGTTTTCTGCGGCCGCCTTGGTTTTCTCATAGTCTCAACACGTATTTGACTTCTGTGACCTACGGTGCTTCATGGATTCTCACTACAGTCCAGCGGAGACTAAGGCCAATGCGGTTGACTTACGGAAAGACTTCAGCCCCGTCATTGAGGCACGAAGGCGAATATAGTCAGTTGCCTTCAGAGTACACGGCCATCTAAAAGTCATAAGTTATGACTCATAACTATAGACAACGCAGTTTTGCAGATCTGATCGGTGGAAAACTTCTCTACTCGAGAACAAGCTCCATTCAGGGTAGCACATGAAGGTCCTTGCTTCGATAAAACTTGATAATTGGGGTTCGTGTTCGCAGAGTCGTTGACAAGTAACACAAGGCACAATTGTAAATTTGTACAACAACCTTCGTTAATTGTCTCGTCCAGTTCTCTAATACTGTATAAGGAATCGCCTAAAGTTTGTGTTCTTTAATTGGTGCCACACCTGGGTCTGAAGATCTGTCTTCCATGAAGCAGGTTTAAGACCATATCCTTCAGTATTGCAAACAAACGGCTGTCGCAATTGATGCCTCATGAAGCATACCAATCTCACTCGCATGATTCCGAGGTCCAAATCGCATTTCGCTCATCTGTTTGTCACATGCTGTAGTCGCATGCATGTTAACCTGTTTTAGTGACAGAAAATCTAGCCGAAGGTGAAGCCTTCGTTGGCGGAACGAGCCTCTTGACTGCATCATCAATGCGTCGTATCTAGTGCGTCCTATCCTGCGAGCGATGCACACAGTGTATAGAGTCAAACAAGGCAAGGTTGACTGTATCGCATGTGAATTTCCCGGCACAGACAGGAAGCGTCATGTTTTGCTAAACCACATTACACCCTGGTGGGACCGATGTTTCGTAGTGATTCCCTCTGTGAGTACGGGACATTGGAGACAACACACAGACATGTAAATGTGCAGCACTGTGGTGTCACACGAATGAGGACCAGGCTTCCTAAACCGGGCCCACCCATTGGCATTCAGCGCTTGACTATATTGGCTCCAGGGTTGGGGAATGCAATGATCTCTGTGGTACAGAACTGGGTCTGCTGTCAGTCACTAGCTTGCTTTCAGAAGTCCTTCGCTGAGAGATAGAATTCACTCACCCCTCGCGTTCTGGCATCGGCTGAACTTTACCGACAGCTAACGAAAACGTGTGCATAGTGCCGCGAGAGGTGAACCATGTCGTTATGACTTTCGATTGCTCCGCAATAGTTTCAAGGGAGGGACTAACCTACTGTCGCTCGCTCCCGTCTGTTACCAGAACTTTGCAGATGATGAGAGCTGCTGTAGACCTTGGCTTTACATCTTCACAACCGCAGGTTGCCGAAATGAGGCAATTGTCCAAACTGCCCTGCAATCTGGATTTTTTTCTCAAACCAAGCAATCCCTTTGGTCAACACTGACGACTATTTCAATATCGTCTGTAAAGTTGAACTGACCAATTGACAGATTTGTCTAAATGCTCTTCACAGACTCCTCAAGAGTTTCACAGCCTCTCGTAGCATAGCTGACTTGATCGCAGATAACCTCTAGTCTCCGATATGATTAAGGAATGTATATATATATACAAACGTATATACTTATATATTTCTCTCTCTCTCAACAACGCTTGGATTTTATTCAGCTTTTCCTCGATGGAAAATGTGACCTGGAGCAGGAGTTGCAACACAATGGGGCGCAGGATGGAACAGGTCCGATTTAGACGCTAGAATTGATTATCTTCAGGGATGCCAGTGGGAAAATTGACAAGTTGAGAAGATGAATGGTATAATTTCGCTGTCTCTAGTTTCTTCCTACAACTTACACCATTTTCTCGTAATTTCTACGCGAGCTTCTGGCAGCTGAACTTTTTACTGAGGCTGAGGACATTTGTTAAAAGCCAAGGACCAACTTGGGGTTGACAGTTGATACTATGCGATTGCTGGCAGGTTCCTTCTGTTTTTCTGCCTCGTCCGAACGAGAGAAGACTAAGCTCTGTGAAATATTAGTCTTGAAAGGAATTCCATGAGTTTAAATGTCTGGCAGTAAAGGTGGGTGCCAGAAGATATCCACAAAAGAGTTTTGGTTTGTGTTCTGACGCTCGAGAAAAAGGTGACGGTCTGTTACGAGATAAAGGCGAGGATGCAACCTGGGGATGTGCTGCGGGTTTGTTTACTTTCTATTATCTTCGGTTTTATCTTGGTGAATGGTGATGAAGGGAGTGACTTTCTGGATTACAAAGAAGAACAGGCGCGTCGTATTGCAGAATCAGCAATCGCCAATTACTACAAGAAATGCGGTACTATCACTGTCTCTCAAGTCAATTGAATGGTTTCCTGACTCGGCAGAGTAGATAACTACAGTCCTCTGTTCTGGCCTTCCGTGCTCCGTGTGTTGTTCCCTTCTCGGTAACAACGGCAACTTGGACTCGCTTGTTCCGCGTTCAGAATTGAATCAGGAAGATATGTCTTATTAGTATTATTAGACGACTTTCTGTGATTTTTGAGGTGCTAGACATTCGTCTCTATTTAGTACTTTCCCATCTGTGTGATCTTGGTATGCGTCATCTCATACGTTTAAATTTGAAAGTCGCTCTACCACATGACTGATTTGTAGTACTCCTTCCATTCTAGGCTTGTGGGATATGTAGGTCTAAGCGATTGACTATTTGTTGCTGCAGAACTTGTTGGAACATGCTCTGAGTCATGTACCAGAGGCGGTTGCAGTCCGCGTTTGGACGATTATCTTCAATGCACAAGCATTTTGGAAAACAAACGATGTTCAGATACACCTTGCAACAACATTCTTGTGAATTTCAACCGAAGCTACGTAAGGTTAGCTAGCTGACGTTGTAAACTGAAGTGTCAGAGAAGTCTTTAGGCTAGAGGTTGATCCATATGGACACGAAGTTAACCTTCAGCACTCGTTCTATACAGCCTTCCGCTACCCACTACAGGCACATGCACAGAAAGATTCGATGGATGGAATCATCATTCTAGAAAGGTCATGAGGCTTCAATTAGACCAGATATTTCAGGCTGACCTTCTGGCAGATATACAGAGTCATTTTCCTGCAAAATCCGAGTTCCATGTCAAGCACAGTACCAGAGCATTTTAATGACATCTATCCACGTGAACTAGGGCTTAGAGAACTGTGAGAAATTGATGGCAGTCATACTTTTCTTCTTGACAATGGTCCATTGCTCTCAGTCTATATGTCACGCTCAACTTACGACGGTTTTAACCACAAATAGTTGGCAAACGTTCTCCCTGTTTCTCGAGGGCGTTGTCTCGGCATGATTTTTTTCGTGGTATTATCATCTGACACATATAGCCTCCCTCATGAGTAATGGACCAAATTTGTTTCTGTCTGACATAGAGAAGGCCGCATAGAGATCTTTTGCACCGTTGTCTCGGCAGCTCGTTTGAAGATTCTATATGATGCATGCTGTCATGTACTTTTGATACAGGTATCCCAGGTATGACTACACACCATCTTCTGTGGAATCGGTATCATCGGAAATGCGCGACTCAATATGCAGTCAGCGAATGCTCGACCCATTGTTTTTGAATCTCCTCGAGGAACAAAAAGAGAAGAATGAGAAGAACTCCGAGGATTACTACTTCAACTTTTACTTCGGATCAATCGACGGAACCTTTCGGTTTTATCCTGGATTGGTAAGCTACGAGCATGGTTACACACAAACGCAAGTTTTAAAGGTATTTTTTCCGAGTTATTATCGTACCTTGCGAATATGTTGCAGCGAACATCTTTTCTAATTTGTTTTTCGTTCGTCGCGTTTGCAGGAGGTCCAAGACTGTTATGGATACGATCCGCGAATACGACCATGGTATATTATAAATCCTACAATCCTGTTATTTTATACGTCGTGTTCTATTTGAAATGAATGTTAGCTGTACACCGACGGTAAAAATTGCATAATATTATTTAAACAAAGGCTAGAAGATTATCAAGTACAAATAACTATCGTCAATACGAGGGGCGGACGATTATAGTAAACCTTACTTCTCTCCGACCCAACAATATAGGACGTATGTGAGTACCTAAAGTGATATGAACGCAGACTGTGCAGACCGGAAGTTGCAAAAGAAAGATTGAACATTTCTTCTTTGTTCTTGTCTTGAAAATCGCGTTGCTCCAGCCTCTGATTACCCGTAGGTTGCAGAAAACGTTGACTCGAAAGTTCAGAACTTTCTGGCAGTCTGGGCTTGCTAAAGCGCTAGGCATCAGGTCCACGAGATTCACGAAATGATCTGTCAGACAGGACTAAGGAGATGGTTTCTGTAACCTGTAAAGTTAATGCCGATGTTTTAGTCGTCATTCTGGAGTCTGCCCATTGACGTGTGCAGTCTGTGTATATGCTTATATGATGGTCAGTCTTCAGCTGTGTTGCTCGAAGCACGGGCTCAGTGTTTACCCTGGTCAGGTACAATGGAGCCATTTCGGTAAAGAAGGACATTGTCGTGCTGCTGGACACGGGTGCTTCGATGAATGACATCCAGGGCTACACCATCGCTATTTCATCCAGAGAAATAGCCGGAATATTGGCGAAAGACCTTCTCAAGACCCTTACAGCGAACGATCGAGCCACGGTAATGGGTTTCGACTCAAATCAGACGAGTTTACTCAGCCAGATTGTAAGCTATCATGCTTTTACATTCTCCCGTTCTAGTTGCTTGATTGAAAATGAATGCTTGCCCTTATTGGAACATGTGGTTTAGAGACTTTAAATGCCATTAAGTCTCTTCCTGGAAACATTTTTCTCATGAAATCTCTCATTCGTTGTCTTTGTAGTGGTTGACAAATAAGTTCAATCTGGCTATGTCAGGACGTGCAAGGTACAGGATTGAATATCTCCGATTCTAAGTTTCAAGATCAGCTGTTGCGCATCAATGAAACGACGGTTACACCTCCTTCCGGCCCTTCAAACTACACTGCAGGATTGATGAAGGCCGTCTCTACTTTCAGAGATGCTTCTAACTCATCGGATGATCTTAAGGTGCTCTTTTCACTGTCCTATTGCTGTATTGGGTCTACACACCTTAAAGTTTGCTCGACCCCGATTATTATTCTGCATTTAGCTGCGAAATTGTGTACATACTCATCATACATGTAGAAGATATTTTACACTCATATCCATCGCTAAATCTTGTTCATGAGGGTACACTCCGTGCTCTTCTTTCGGTCTATCGTTTCTACTCAGATTAGTGTCTACAATTGTCTACATCCAACACGTGTAGGTATAAAATGCCTGTCTATTTCTTGAGCATCAACGTAATACATAGAGTACTTTTTGCAGATAATTGTCCTATTCACAGATGGCAAATCGACTGATTTATCTGAAGCTCAGCTAGCGACGGTTCTCGAGGAGTTCACGAAAAAGTCCATCAGATTGTTCATTTACGAAATTTCGGACAAGCCAGGTCTTCTAAATGCGACTGCCTGTATATTACAGGCTTATCATCAAAACCTTGATCCTATCAATGTTGTGCAGAACCCCCTCTACTCGCTGGAGACGTACTTCACGTTCTTGGCTGATTCAAACGTACAGTCAGAGGGTTCGACCAAAGCCTTTTGGCAGAAAGTTTACGTTGATTACGGAAATCTCGGTGACATTATCACTGTTGCCTATCCTGGTAAGCATGATATGCCCTCTCTCTTACATAGATGTTTCCAGGTGGACGTTTATTTTGGACTTCGTTTGCCTTGCTGAAGTACGCTCGATTTATGCTTATCTGCAGCCATGTCATCCGACGGACATCTGATTGGAGTCGCTGGAATTGATATCCAAACCAACGGCCTAGATGCAATCCTCAAGAAATCGATAGAAGGAAGTTTGGGCGACAGAAGAAGCCAGATTTCTGTTAACAATAAGGGTGTAAATTTTGAGAATTGCACAGCGGTAAGCTAGAATTAAACGCAATGAACCTCATCATATTCGAGTTTCGTATACTAGAAGAATTGAAATCATCCGAGGAGCGGATTTCTAATGTCTTTTCTGTCAGATTTTCGGGTCAACTTCCTACTTTTCTTCCGTGTCTAGATAGATTCGAATCACCTGTGCAATTAGTGTTGCTCTTGACAGTTTTTCTTGTGTTGGATGGTCTTGCCATCGTTCTTTTTGCCCATGCGTCGCCTTTTTCCTACATAAAGAAAAAAAGTTGTCGCTCAACATTCTTAGAAATTACTTCTGCAGGTGACCAAAGGTCGTAATGACTCATGTGAAAGTGGCGTTTCGGCCCCTTTATGTGTCCAAGACGATACCAGAAGCAGCTACAAGGACTTGATTTGTTGCGGCGAATGTGCGCTTGATGAGAACGGGGACTCTCAAGGAGTCGTCATACCGGTGGTTGTCTCTCTTTTCTCGCTTTTGGCCTTGTCCGGAGGTGGACTTTTCCTTTACTTCAGGTTCTACAGGCCTCGGAGGAAGCAACCCTCTCTGGTAGACATTGTCAAGGTTCCAAAATTTTCTTACGAAACCCTCTCTCTGGCTACGAACAGATTCAGCGAGTCGAATCAACTTGGCCATGGCACATATGGTGTAGTGTACATAGGAACCTTGGAAACTGGGCTCAGAGTGGCCGTCAAGAAGCTGCACTTTAAGCCTGATCATGACTTCAAAGATTTTGAAGCAGAGATTAGGGTTTTAGCTACAGCAAATCATAACAATCTAGTGGCACTCCAGGGCTTCTGTGTTGACCAGCATTACATCTTGGTTTATGAACTCGTGGAGAATGGAGATCTAGACGACTGGCTGTTTGAAAAGCCATTGAAATCGGGCAAGGTGCTACCATGGTCTCAGCGAGTAAAAATTGCTAGAGGAACGGCAAAAGGCCTGGCGTATCTTCATGAAGAACTCCAGAACCAGCAAAAGGTATGTCACTCAGACATAAAGCCTGCCAACATTCTTTTGGACAATGATTTCAACCCGAAGGTGGCAGACTTCGGAATGGCAAAGCTGTACGACGGTGGCACTGATTTGTATGCCAACGGTGGAACTCTGGGATATATGGCTCCTGAGGTTCTCAATGGGGCAATCGCAAGTACCACAACCGATGTGTACAGCTATGGGATAGTGCTGTTAGAGATGGTGACTGGGCGCAGGTTTTCAGAGTTCAAGACTCAAAATCTTCGTCATTGGGCAAATACAAAAGTCGCGGATGGGCAGGAAAGAAACCTTGTGGATCCAAACTTGAAGGGTCTTGAAGAAGCTGACCATGCCATGGCCAAGACCTTACTTGGCATCGCACTCCGCTGCACAACAATCGATCCAGACTCTAGACCTCATATGAGTGCTGTGGTGAAGATGATAGAGGGTTATCTTCCAATACCACCACTTATACTGAATGAACAACCTGACAAAGTGAGTCTATCCTCTGAGTCTACCAGTCAAACTGGAGAATCGTTTCGCTGGGAAGGATCTTGGACCATGTCTCAAGCAATCTATCGATTCCAAGGCAAGGGAAAAGGAGGGAAACCATCAGGGTAGTTATCTCAAGTTCTCAAGCAACTAGGTGTGATTGTCAACTAGTTTGCTCCCGTGTGGAATGGATGTCTCAAATGCTCAGGCCCACTACACTCAGGGAGTACTGATCCGCCTACAACAATGCAGATGGAATATCCCAGTTCAGACTTCCCAGGATCGTCCTTAATAGCGTAATTTATTGTACAAAATAGACACCCATCAGAGTAGAACTAGAAACAGTAGCGAATCGGACAGACTGGCTGGTTAGTCATTCAGTTTATCAACGATTACCTGCCTATGTGGATCCAAGCGGGATCATGGTTTCGGTCGAGACCATAAACTCTTGCTGGCAGTCCCCTGCTCCTTTGAGCATTGTAAATCTACGACCCTTTGACGCTTAATCTGAAGACAGAACAACTACTTCGTGACCAGGATTCTTGATGTTTACGACCACCCGAGACTTTTGCGCTTCTTGTGCTGGATAAGGTCATTCCTGATCCTAGCCGCGCGAATAAGATGCTGTAATTTCTTGGGTTCTCAGCTCGAGAGGTTGTATTGCTATCAGCTCACTGCGACTTTTCGACTAGCCCCACAGGTCCCTCTGATAAGCATCAATATCCCCACAGAGAGTGGATGCAAAGGAGGTTCTCAGCCACATTCATCTGCCATGATAGAAAAGTCTCAGGCAACAGTAAGTGAAAGCCTTCACTCTACTATCGCACAGTACCACTATTTTCATGATCAAATTATCACGCGTGACCCAGTACAGGCAAGGAGTTGTGACGTTGTACATTTACACATGGGGAATGTTCCTTGTGTAATTCCAATATACACAGCGTGGAATTTGATAATATTAGATAAAAAATATGGCCAATCTTTGTACAGGTCAAAGTCCTTTAGCAAAGGCGTTGAACCGCAAACATAGAACCAGATTGTAGAAATTCAGATTCGGATTCTATGTATCGTACTAGACGATATGGGTACCTTGTCCATAATATTTGTTTATCTGTTGTAGGCATCAGCAGGAGAAATCATAATGATAGCAATCTCATATGAATTACTCTCCTACTCAAAGCTTTTGACATAGAATGCTAAGGTATCTCAGTTGCAGTACAACTTATCATGCGTTGTGATGCTTATCATAGCATATATACCGAATTGGTTTCATCTGAATACCAATTGATCGTGTCTTCGCATCCATTTCTTATATTTCTTAGTTGATGGTCCTATATATAGTTTTCTAGACCTCCGTACTTTCCCACTTCATTGTAAGGTTCAAGCTGGTGCATTATGAGAAGCTATTCTAAGTGCCTCTGCCGACTTGCGTGTTATTTGGGTTACGTGCATCTTCAGACACATCCATCTAAAACCGGAGAGTTGAAGTGAATGTGTGACAAGTAGTGTTATTTAGTTTACGTGCATCTTCAGAAACATCCACTAAAACCGGAGAGTTTGAGTGAATATGTGACAAGTAGTACATGTGTTTACACCACAAGTAAAACTTTTCTTGTAAGGAGAATGTAATAATTGACAACGTTAACTACATGGGAAGCATGTGTATTACAAAATTTCACTAATTTTGTGACAAAGTTTAAGTTGTAAACAGATACCTAAATTTTATATCTATTTCAGCGAAAACTTTCATTTCAGTTGGTGAAAAATGTACAACATTACTAACAAAGCAGCAAGGACAATAGCGGGATCTTTCAATTATGTGATATAATTGTAACAATTCTAATTGAGATCCTCGAACCTGTAGCAGGCAAGAGAAGTGTATTTTTGATAAATAATATAAATCAGGAAAAAAATATGACAAAAAAAAATGGAATCCAAAATTATGGTAAATGGTGATACACCAAGCCGGAGGAACCAAAGGGTCAAAAGGCTGATTAACACAATACAAGTGAAAAGATGCAAAAAGGCCAATTGCTAACTAGTGCCAAGAGCATTAGAACGTTAACTAATAATGTCTTCAACATAACAATCTAAATCAAAAGTAATAAAGAATATGAATTCTCCACATCAATATTATGAGCAAGCCTAATGTCTTTGTACCTAGAATAAGTAACAAATACATGCTCTTCATATTCAATGTACCCATCGCCACATAATCTACAAATACACATCTACATAATCTACATAATACATAATCTACATAATCTATCATACCGGAGTCCCTCATTGGGTACCCATACCCATGCCCACCCACTGCCCACCCCATCCATGGTGGGTAATGGCTGGGCATGGGTACGCCAATCAACCATGGGTGGGCAGTGGGTGGGCGAAGCCAACAAGCTAGATGCGTGGGTGTGTTTAGGGTTTAGGGTGTGAGCCAACAAGCTAGATGCATGGGTACCCATTTACCCAATGAGGTACTCTGCACCTGAGTTATTTGAGACGTGAGCTGATGAGCAAATACACCCTAGCCAGCTTGTCCCTTCTGTTTGTTTGCCCTCCTTCTTTTGTACTCCCCCCCTATTTTTCCCCTTTCTATTGTTGTTGCTTCCCCCCCCCCCCCCCCCCCCCCCCAACCACATTAGAGCAATCCAGATTCAGATTTTAGACAGCGGTCAAATATGCCGCTTTCTCAGGAAACAGCTGGGGATTGCGAGCATGAAACAGCGGTAGCACCCGTTCGGGACGCCATTGTGCCGCTTGCTCAGAACAAGGTGGAGCGGTCGCTGCGAAGCCGAGTGGAGCCGCGCAACTACGAAATTCGCAATCATGCTGGCCCATCGGTCATATGGAAATCATTCGGCATCGTGTACGATACAGCCACGGGTGCGAAGACGAACTTCGCTGCCTGCAAGACGTGCAGCAAGACATTCATTTTCAAGACGGGCGGCAAGGGCATCCACAGCACTGGAACAAGCACCATAGGCAAACACAAGTGTCTCTGAACCCGCCTGGCGTCGGCAACCACATCTTCAAGGTCCACAAAGTCTCAGCGCAGCAAAAGGCAAAGATGACAGCCGCCGCCGTCGACTACTGCGCGTCAGACATGCGTGTTTTCGAGTCAGTCAGCGGCGTCGGCTTCAAAGCGGTCATTCAAGCAGCACTTGACATCGGCGTCGCGTCGAACGGCCGCGTTGTCGTCAACGACCTGCTGCCTTGTCCCTTGACAGTGCGTCGGAATGTCGAGGCACGAGCAGTGAGCGGTCGTGAAGCGTTGTCCATAATCCTTCATGACCATTTGGTATCTGATGTCGGCTTTGCGACTACGATTGACATGTGGACAGACACCGTCAAGAAGACGTCGTACTTGTCCATTACTTCGCATTATGTCAACGCGGACATGGTTTTGCACGCCCGCACGCTGCACGTCAAGCCGGTGTTCGATGCGAGTCACACCGCCGTCGTCGTCAAGAACGAGCTCAAGTCCGGTCTCGCTGTCTTGGAGATTGGGCAGGCATTTTACGACCAAATCATTGTCGTCTCGGACAGCGGTTCTAACTGCCGCGGCGCCGAAGGAATCCCATCCGAGTTTGCGTGGCTTGCTTGCCTGGACCACAAACTGGCAACCGTGCTAACTACCGTCTTTAACAAGACTACAACAATGATTAACGGAGTGAAAAGTGCTCCGTTCTACAAATACAACAATGAACAACATGCGAACTTGGCCGTGCTCTTTAACGTGTTCGATGCAAATAAGAAACTCGTTGAGTATTTTAAACGCACCAACCTGCAATGCATGCTGAGTAAGACACTAAAGCAAGAGTTACCACACGTTGGAATTCGTTGCTATGCTGCCTTAAAAGCGTCCACGATATGACCGATGAGGTTATCGAATTGCTCAAGAAGAGGAACAAGCTCGACTTGTTCAACTTTTCGCAGGACCTGCTCGCGGAGATCGTCGGTTTCCTCGACGTGTTCCAATTGGCAACGTTGTCGCTTGAACAGTTCAAGTCGCCGACGCTGCACAAAGTCGTTTATTGACGACATCGACTGACGCAGCATCTGATGCCAGTTATGCACAACGTCTTAGATGACGGGGGCAATCTCGTCAGGAAGGCGGATAGTGCATCTCTCATCGCCGCCAAGGGCGTTTTGATGCCCATCTTCATTGAAAAATTCGTCGTCCGGATGTGCATGTCAAGGCGGCGTTCATGTGCCCAATGCTCAAGCGCCGTCTTCTTGGTATGGGCGTCCCTTCGCACCAGGTCGAAGTTATAAAGATGCAGCTAAAGTGCGACATGGCCAAATATGGTCATCAACTGGACACCGAAGTTGATGCAGCTGTCGCACCGCCTGTCAGCAAGAAGGCGCGTGTTGGCAACGGCCATTCCATGTACGACATGGAGGAGGACGAAGATGAGAGGTCCGACGATCGGGCCAACAGCAATTTCAGCAATCGCATCGATATTGAGTTCAAGTCCTACAACCAGCACACGATCAGCGACAATGAGAAGCGTGATTCGGAGGTCGGTGGCGAGTTCAATGTCTTAGCTTGGTGGAAGACGACCGGCGCCAAGCTCTTCCCGATCATGGCTTGCGTCGCGCGTTCCATCTTGTGTGTTCCTGCGTCCAGCGCGATGTCTGAGAACAATTTCTCGGACGTTGGCAATACGCTCACAAAAAAGCGCAACCGACTCAAGCCGCGCGTTGTCAACGACCTCATGTTTGTGCGCTCCAACCGCGACTTGTGTAAGAAATAAACGTACACTACGTCGATGTCTGCACAAACAAGTAGAGTACACAATGGATACCGATGGGTACGGCGCTAGCTTCGGATGGGTACATCCGAAACGCACGTGGGTAACGGGTGGGCATGGGCAGACTGAGTTTACGTGGGTGGGTAATGGGTGAGCAAGGCCCACGCGCGCAAAGCGTGGGTGGGTGTGGGTAATCACGCTGAAGGCGTTGTAGGACTCTGATTCATACCTATCAATATTAAGCCAAAGTTCTTACTCAATTCCAAGCCGCTGATATCTAGTTCTATGACTATAATAATATGACATAAGGATGTAGAAATTCCTACAAGTAGATAATACTGTTCACATTAAACAAGCATAGTATGCACATGAAGTTGATAAAACTGCATCTTGGTGCCGCGCTTGCTCCAAATAATGCTCAAAAACTACTCCTTTAGTCGTTCACGTAGTACTATAAGTTGCACTCTCACTCGCGTTCCGTCACATTCCACCTCAAAGACCAAGGTATCACATCTGCTAACAATCCTTTGGCACGTGTGTCACGCAAAGCATGGAGAGGAAGGCGAAAAGCATCAAGAGATGTCACTCGTATGATGTAAGTGATGGTTAAGAATAGAGCTTCAGCCTCTAGAGTTAAACAACGTGTTTCCACAAGAAGAATTGTATATAGAGTTTGACTCTCACACCCAATTCGTCTTATAGAAATATCTTGTGTACCCTCTCCACACGCTCCCAACCTGTCTTCTTACAACCAGAGCTCCACATTTGCATTCCATATAATACTACCGGCAACACTAAGCTCATGAATAAAAATTTCCTAAGATTCCAAAACACTAGATTAGCTCTTCTACACCGAATTAATAATGAATATAGAGTTTTGTAACTATCTTCTACTCTCTTTTGCACGCAAAGTGCTCAACTATAATCATTAGAAAAATCAATGTTTAGATGTTTATAACTCTTCATTTCTTCTAATTGTAGATCCTTGTAATACAATGAGAATTTGGATTAGTGCCCACTATAATGTCTTTAGACTTTTCCATATTTATCCCCATTTGATTTTAGGTACAAAATCGAACCAAAGTGTGTAAATGTTTATATATACCAATTGCTAGTAATATGATTTATATGCATACAAGAGAGCTTGGATAACAAAGTTTCTAAACTTCATATGATTATAAGTTGACACACTTATGAAGAGATTATCCATCATAAATAAAATCAAATTTTTTTTCTAATAAAATATTTTGGACTTATAATTATTGGTAGTAAATTGAAGTATTGATAAATCTGGTTACCTTTAACTATAATAAAAAAACGAGATTAAGTAATGTGTTGATAGAATTCAACATAACTTTTTTCAATACTTATCAGATTGTTATTATATGAAAGAGTCAATCATATGTGACAAAAAGTTTAGATTTTTAAGTAAATTATTTTCTATCTAAAAATGTGTTTACATAACTTTCAATTGAATTCATAATTTTCACTCATCAAATTTTTTATTGACATGTCAAAATATCTATTTACCCAAAATTCTCACTTATGAAACAAATTTTGATACAATGTCATCTTCAAAATTGTTTGAGTGTCTTTTTTTTTATCACT